AACATGTCAAATTATAAAAATCAATATATATATGACATCTCAAACTAAATAGCCAAAGGATTTAACAGCTGGCTACAATTATGAAAAAGAAATACAGAACAGAGAAAAACATACCAAGAAATTGTTCTTATTGACTGCAGTCAACAAAGGTAGTAGACATTCTGTATTTTAAGCAGTTTAGCATAAGAAAGGTTTCCCCAGTTTTCAAAAATATTGGATTGCAACTCTCAGAATTTCCACTTCTAAATATTGAATTCTCAATTCCTTTAGATCACTATATACAACAGCTTGTACCAATTATGTAGCTACACCAATTCGAAAGCAAGCTGCAGCTTTACAGTCAGTAAGTTTCTGATTAAATTTTGAAAGACTAATAATGATGTTTGAAGCCTGGAGAAGTTACTGTAACATGCATTATAACCAAAGCATGTGCTTGCATAGCTGTTAGGCACATGGTGGGCTTTTATTCAGAGTAAATCAAGGTTACTGTCTAACTATACTGCTGACTGGCTTGTCCAGCTATCATCAACAGAAACTGTCTGGTTTATCCCAAAAAGAGCTGGGATTAAAGAAAACAGCTTTTTTCATATCTACAACTAGGCTGTGAAAATCTTCCAAAGGAATTCTATCTCACTTTAAGAATTAACTTCCGGGGGGGGGGGGCATATATAGTGTAACCTATGTAACATGTTAAATTCATATATGTATTTTTTTGTGTGTGTATATAATCCCCAAACAGATATTAAGTACTAAATAAACTAAGGTATAGTGCTATAGATGCTTGTTTTGGAATAAGAGCTTGGCGCCAAATCTGGGCTATGTGGAGGGGGGTTGATCAAAAACGTCCCAACGGAACTGCTTCAAAAGTTCTTGGGTGCGTCTAGCTGTATGCGAGCAAGCATTATTCTGAACCAACACCATACCGGAAGTCAGCATGCCCCAACACTTGTTATGGATGGCTCGTCTGAGTTTTCATAACGTTTCACAGTAGACTTCTGAATTGATGGTCGAACCACGTTCCACAAATTTCACTAGCAGTACGCCTTTGGCATCTTCACATTTGGCAGGATTTTCTATGGCACCACTTCCACTGTGGTGTTGGTTCACGATAATGCTCGCCTGCACATCGCTAGATGCACCCAAGAACTTTTGAATTAGTTCCATTGAGATGTTTTTGATCACCCCCCCCATAGCCCAGATTTGGTGCTGAGTGACTACTACTAGGGAATTTCAAATCTTGTAAGTCATTATGACAAGTGCCTCAATTTGAATGGCGATTATGTCGAAAAGTAATGTAATTTTGTAGTTTTCTAATGTGTATAGTAAAAGTTCTGTATCTGTGAGTGTCTGTCATTGATAATGAAACGGAGGATTATTTCCGAATTGCCCTCGTATGTTTCTCCTGATCTGCTATTGTAGTGATTTTTTTTGTAAGCCACCATGAGTTAAGATTTAGAAATATATACATTTGAAAAATAAATGAATTAATTAAATAAATTAAATTAAGCCAATGATTAAAAATCCCTGATCAATGGCTTTCAAGTGGTCATACTCATGGTACAGATATAATAGAATAGAATAACAGAGTTGGAAGGGACTTTGGAGGTCTAGTCCAACCCCCTCTAAGGCAAGAAACCCTATACCAATTTAGACAAATGGTTGTCCAATCACTTCTTAAAAATTTCCAGTGTTGGAGCATCCACAACTTCTGGAGGCAAATTGTTCCACTGATTAATTGTTCTAACTGTCAGGAAATTTTTCCTTAATTCTAGGTTGTTTCTCTCCTTGAGTTTCCCTCCATTGCTTCTTGTCCTGACTTTGCGGTGCTTTGGAGAATAGGTTTGACTCCCTCTTCTTTATGTCAACTGCTTAGATATTAGAACACTCCTATCATGTCACCCCTAGTCCTTCTTTTCATTAAACTAGACATACCCAATTCCAGCAACTGTTCTTCATATGTTTTAGCCTCCAGTCCCCTAATCATTTTTGTTGCTCTTCTCTGCATTCTTTCTAGAATCTTAACATCTTTTTTACATTGTGTCCACCAAAGCTGGATGCACTATTCCAAGTGTGGTCTTACCAAGGCATTATAAAGCAGTACTACCACTTCATGTGATCTTGATTCTATCCCTCCGTGTTGGTTTTTTTGGCAGCTGCAGCACATTGCTGGCTCAGATTTAAGTGACTGTCCACTGGGGCCCCTCTAACAGTTACTACTATTGAGCCAGGTACCACCTATACTATACTTGTGCACTTAGTTTTTCTTACCTAAATGTACAACCTTACTTTTTTCACCACTGAATTTTATTTTGTTAGATAGCGGCCAATGTTCAAGTCTGTCAAGATCTTTCTGTGTCTTAAGCCTATCGTCTGGAGTGTTGGCTATTCCTGCCAGTTTGGTGTTGTCTGCAAATTTGATGAGTTCCCGATCTAGAATCAAATACAAATCATTGAAGATATTGAAGAGTACTGGGCCTAAGATAGAGCCTTGGGTACCCCACTGCACACTTCCTTCTATGTAGATGCAGTTCCATTGAGGATTACACATTGAGTGCGGTTGGTCAGCCAGCTACAAATCCATGTGGTGGTAATGCTGTCTAACCCACATTTTTCTATCTTATCAAGTATCAGGTTGTGGTCTACTTTATGAAATGCCATACTGAAGTCCAAGTAAATTATATCCACAGCATTCCTCTGGTCCACTAATTTTGTCACTTGGTCAAAGAATGCAGTAAGATTTGTCTGGCATGATCTGTTTTTGACAAACCCATGTTGGCTTTTGGTTATGACTTGTTTGCATCTAGGTGTTCGCAGATTTGTTGCTTATCTTTTCCAGAATCTTCCCAGGTATTGATGTCACATGAATAGGTCTGTAGGTTCTTAGATCCATTTCTTTTCCTTTTTGAAGATGGGAACTACATCAGCTCTTTTCCAATCCTCTGGTAGTTCCCTGGTGCTCCAGGATCTTTGAAAGATATAGTTCACTGGTTTTGAGACCACATCTGCCAGTTCCTTCAGAACCTTGCAGTGTAATCCATCTGATCCTGATGATCTGAACTCATCTAGGGTGGACTATTTGAAATCCAGAAATAATCTAGTTGCAGCTCAGGATAAATCCTGAACTTCCCATCCATCCTTTTTGGAAAAAAATGGTATTTTTAATTCTATCAGATGAGACTTAGCTTCTTTTGATAGTATTGATTTATAACAGGGGTATCAAATTGCCGGCCCACGGGCTGGTTGCATCATGCTGAGGCCGCGCCCACCCGATCCGGCAATGCAAAAAAAGTTGCGATATGTTGCGACACGTCACGTGATGCGGCGAGTTAGACACCCTGGTTTAGGACCTACATTATCTTCTAAGACACCTTGTGGCTGAGAATAGAAATGGCCATTTTCTGGACTACTAGAGTGTTTCAAATTCATTATCATGTAAATAAACCACCTCATTTTCTTTCTCATGTTCATCTGTGTAATCTTACAACTGGACGTAACAGAAATAGGGCTTCTACAACCAAACCTAATCGCTAGGAAGGTTCATAGAGGAGTAGACCCTTTTTAGACAAATAGATCCTAAATCCTTTATGCCCTTGAATTGGACCCAATAGGATTTATTCCCATGAAGGATGTAGCTATGCAGCTTATTTTAAACTTGGAAAAAAGACAATCTGTAGAATGTAAACACAGAGCTAGCGCTCAGAGCATCTAAGAATGTAATATTCTTTAATGCTTAGTTCCTTGATATTTGATTCTACCAAAAGTAAACTCATTTTCTGCAAAATTTCACACCTTTTGGACCAACTGACAACCCCCAATTACTTTTGGAATGGCAGGATATACATTTGGCTATACAACTACACAAATTAAAAATCAACATCTTATCTCATCTATGCCCTTTTCTGAAAACATGTACTTTTAGGACAACGATTTCATTACTCAACCCTAATTTTCACATTTTTTTCCAGTCTTGAATATGATACTGTGATTATTGTTCAGGACAGAATCAAGCGTTAAGTTACTAGAGAAACTCCAGGAGAGCCAAAACGGAAGTTACACCTTTCAGTAAATCAAGGACACTGGTCTCATTTGTATCACCATGGTTCACTAGCAGCCTACCAAAGTGAATTCGAACGTAAATTGTGCAACTCCTTGATTACTTTATTTGTTTAAATACATGTAATACATGTATTTATTTATTTATTTATTTATTAAATACATGTATTTATTTATTTAAATACATGAGTACAGTATGTACTCGTATCAATGTTTTTCAACCTTGGCAACGTTAAGATGAGGGCATGCTGGATGGCGAGTTTAAATCCACACATCTTAAAACTGCCAAGACTGGAAACACGCCGATTTAAAGGGCTTGCTCAGCTCGCAAAAGCGCGACTCCAGAATTGCCAACATCCCCAAACCACAATCCAAATTCAACCACAACCAAACCCACCCACGTATACTTTCATTATTCATCTAATAATCGAAGACGCTCCGAAGGCTTCAGCAGGCTGTCTCGGGGGGTGGGGGGTGGGGGGAGGGAGACGTGTTTCCCGGGGGGAGGGAGACGTGTTTCCCGCGTCTCGCCAAATCAGGCTCTTCCCAAGTAGGGGAGGACTAGAAAGCCCATCGCTCCGCTCCCGAGGCAACATGTAGTACAAGGCGGAAGACCAGCTCGCGCCCCCTGAAGCAAGGCGGCTGTCCCAGACTGGGGCGGCGGGGGGGGAGGGAAAGAGACCAAGCAGCCTCCCCCCTTCCCGCCGCTCTCGCTCCCGCCAGAGGGTAAGAGCGAGGCGCCGCCATTGGCCCAGTTCGGGCGCAGCCGGCTGCGCTGGCGGGAGCGGCCTTGCCTCGCGCTCGAGGCGGCGCGCGGTGAGCGGAGCGGGGGCGCGTGCGCGGCCCGGCGAAGGTGGGGCTGCCGACGGGACTGACGGCCCGGGCGACAGACCGGAAGACGCGCGGGCTGTTCCATCTCCTCGAGCGGGCGGCGGCGGCGGCCGCTGCTGCTGCTGGGCTCCCCGGAGCCGCTCCTCGCCGTCGACTGACGCCTCGCCGGCGGAAGAAGGCACAACTTGGGTAAACGAGGCGGGAGGAGGAGGACGGGGTTCGGGGGCCAATGCCGCCCCGCCAGGCCCGAGGGCTTCTCGGTGGCGAGGCCGAGCAACTGTTTTAGGGCGGCGGGCGGCAGCTTCCCGACCCCACCGGCCACCCGGGCGAGGCCGCCCTTATCCTCAGGGGTGGAGGGGAGGCGGCCCCGCGTTCCTCCGGAGCCGAGACGGGCGTTTGGGGGGGGGGTGAGGGCTGGGCACATTGTTGCGCGGACTCAAGAGGGGCGACAGCTTGTCAGGGCATTTGCTTCTCTTCTCGGGGAAAGGTGGGAGGGCGCTTACCTGGGACGGGACGGGGAACGGTGGCTGCCCTTCCCGGAAGAGCTGCTTGAAGTGAGTCTCAGCCACGCTTCGGGAGACGACGTTTCTTTGTATTTTTCTCCCCCTCTTGTTTTCCTTTCAAAACTCTTTGCCGGGATTCCTGGGAGAAGTTAACTGTGGAGGTGCGGTAGTTTGACTGGGAATACCTGTTTGCCTTGAATAGGTGAGGCTGGTGGAGGTATAATGTTCCTCTAAGGCAGGGGTAGTCAACCTTGGCTCTTTTATGACTCGTGGACTTCAACTCCCAGAATTCCTGAGCCAGCTTAGCTGGCTCAGGAATTCTGGGAGTTGAAGTCCACGAGTCATAAAAGAGCCAAGGTTGAATACCCCTGCGTCTAAGGCAGCGTTTCTCAACCTTGGCCACTTGAAGACGTCTGGACTTCAACTCCCAGAATTCCCCAGCCAGCCCTGCTGGCTGGGGAATTCTGGGAGTTGAAGTCCTGACGTCTTCAAGTGGCCAAGGTTGAGAAACACTGCTCTAAGGTCCCAGGCTCTTGAGGCCTATCTCTGCCTAAGAGAGGTTTCTGCTTGCTGTATTGCACAAAGTTAGGCTTGGCCTCTGTTCCCCCCCTCCTTCCACTTGGGTTATTGTGTGTGAATACTCTACCTACATACGGCATAAGCCATAACTTTTTCATAGCTACATTTCCGATCCTGCCGCCTTATTGTCATTTCATTCCTTTCCTTAAAGTCGCTTGATGGGCCTGTGTCTGTGGCTGTCATCCCAAACAGCTTTCAAGTCCATCTGGAATGATTATACTTTTTTTGCCTTTGGGTACAGGGAAGCTTAAATATAATGAGGTGTCCTAAAGTTCAAATTAAGTTGAATAATAGTTAATTTGTCTTCAGCTTCCTGTATACAAAGCAATGGGTTTCAGAGCAGAAATATGAGACCCTGCTACCATTTGTTTCTCAGTTGTTTGTGCTGTTTGTTTTCGAATTTAAATATTTCCTCCTAGGACGCAACTCTTGTTGCACGACAGATGTAATACTTAGCAGTTGAATCTAGTATTACTTCTTTTGGACTTTGTTGGGAAGATTTGCTCAACTTGTAGTTTTATCTTCCTTGGGAAAATGTGTTGCTGTTGGATTGATAACGTTAAGAGAGTCAAATGTGTTGCCCCCAGAGTTATTTCAGACTATAATTTATAATACAAGAACATGAATATGACCTAGAAGAAAGTATTTCATATTGTGCTCTGCTTTTACAAACGAGAAGCTGACTTTCAGAACTCATGTTGAATATTGTGAGCTTGCTTGAAAACCAGGAATAGTCTGGTAGCATATGTTATGCGCAGTTTCAGGAGAACTGGGTGTCACAAATACAAAATTCTTTTGGGTTTAAAGAATTCTTCTAGTTGACAATGTCATGGACAATCTTGGTTTGTTTTTAGAAATATCCAACCTACTTTTTAGAATTCTCAGCTGTTCCAAACAAGATAATCGTATCCATAAGCTTACTAAAGACCTAAAAAGGCAGTGGCATGAGTTTTTTGGGGGAAATTGCATCATAATAGAAGCCAGTGTATAATGCTGATTGACCCAGTGCAATACAGATAATAATTTTGATTAAAACAATTGTCAGTAATTGACATATATATATAGCAAATATAGCCCACATGGTTGTCACTCTCTTTTGTTTTGAATTAATTTAGTGATATGTAGATGAAGAAAAGGGAACATTTGTGAAAAATTAGAGAGGATTATATAGTAATAAGGAAACATAGATCTTCCACATGTCCCCTTTGAGGGAAATAAGAGGTTCAGTCATCCCGTAGAATTGCTAATTTTGTCCTGTTCTATTATCACACAATATTTGCTGAGTAAAGCTAAGCTAGGTTATATAATGCTAAATTCTATACCTCCAGTATTCATTGTCTCAAAGAAAATGGTTGAATTTTAGGTCTTTATTTTACTGATTATTGATTGCTGAGCTCAGTTAAAATTATTGCTTGTTGTAAATTGTAAATCTGCAATTTAAAATCATTTACAAAATTCATCTATTTTTTAAAAAGCCAATTTAACTGGGTAACATAACTTTTCTAATCAGTGGAAAAATTGAGGGTACTTTTGAAAAGTTAAAACATTACTGAATAAGTTTATCATCCCTTCTCCCATATATTTATTTTCTAATCTGATAAATTTTGTACCTCTTAAAAACACTTTAACCAAATTGCAGACCCAGTAAGTATTCACATAAACTTCAGAGTAAGGATTACAACAGATATTGTGTTTCCCCAAAAATAAGACTGGGTCTTATATTAATTTTTGCTCCAAAAGACGTATTAGGGCTTATTTTCCGATTAGGTCTTATTTTCGGGAAAATATGGTACTAATTAAATGTGTCTGTCTGGCTAATGATCTTAACTGGAACTTATTTTTAGGGTAGCAGCCTGAAAAATCATGGTAGGGCTTATTTTCTGGTTAGGTCTTATTTTCAGGGAAACACATTATGTTTTAAATATTAAGCTGAATAAAAGAGATTTTTATTCTTTTTATGGAATTGATTTTTATCTGGATTCTAGAGGATTTGGCTATCTTCAGGTTTTTTTAATCTTTTCCAGTAAAATGGACATTATTGCCAGAGTGGATAATAATTGGTGATTTAAAAAAATTTAAAAAAAAAAATCAGATTTTTTAAAATTTAAATCGGGTTTTTAAAATTTTTATCAAGTTTATTTTAATAAAATGCTTTTGGAGTAAAAATCTATCTAAATATAGTTTTCTATTTAAGATACATTAATAATTTGGTTTATTCAGCATGAAATGGAGTTTAGTTATTTACATTTTTGGTAAACTCATTCAATGAATCCAAGCTTTGCAAGCTGAGATAACATGCACTGCATTGATGCATTCACACAATTTCACAGTAACCGTGAGATAAATCATAAAACAAAGTTCCGGAATATTCTTTTATCCCATTGTTTTGCAAATCTATATACACTACAAACTATATGATTGTTTGAAGAAAAATGCATCTGTACCAGGCTCTGTTTTAATTAAATAAAAGAATTTGAGTAGTTCGTGTTTCCCCAAAAGTAAGACCCGGTCTTATATTATTTTTGCCTCCAAAAGAGGCATTAGCTCTTATTTTGGGGGGGATGTCTTATATTTTTTGTGACACCTGCCTCGCCTCATGATGAGTGAAAGGGACTGTCGATGAGTCAACAGCGGGTCAGAGGAGGAGCCGCTGCAGGACAGAGATGACAGTTGCTCTTTAAAAATTATGATTTAAATCAAATTGATTTAAATCAAGCCTTTTTATTAGTGACTTAAATCAAATCCACCCTGATTATCGCATGTTCTTTTTCAGAGTTAACTTGCACATTGTGAGAGAAAACTGGTTTAGGATACAACTAAAGCAGTGGTTCTCAACCTGTGGTCGGGACCCCATTTCACAGGGGTCGCCAAGCAAGGCTGTCCGCCATTTTTTTTGTCTGCCATTTTTTTTGTCCGTCATTTTTTTCCCCTTTTCCGGCGGGTGCCTTACGTCCCTTGAGCTGGACCAGCTGGTGGTCGGCCTGCTCCGTCTCTGCCGCTGGCAGGCGCTCCCGGGCAGGGAAAGTCCTCGTCTTACGACCGGTTGGGTAGTCCTCGACTTACGACCGGTTTAGTCCTCGACTTACGACCAGTTGGGGTCACGGCATTAAAAAGGTTGAGAACCACTGAACTAGATGCAAGCAAAAGTAGTTTTAAATTTTAAATAAGAGTATACTGCACATTGTTTGCTATAGTCATAACTGGGTAGATGCAAAGGACTATGGGAAATATTAATGAATTTGTTTGGTTTTGTTCATATAAGTTCTGTTAATAAGAGTTGCCTCCAGGCAAGATGGATGGCATATAAGTTGAATGAATGAATAAGTAAAGCAGTAAGTATTTATTACAAAAAACTGTAAAACATTTCAATTCAAACAAACATTCCACGAAATATCCAATGTGTGCATGGATTGGCAGCCTTAGTTACCACATGGTTGACTTAATGACCACATGACAATTACTTTGACAGACTTGTGTTTCATATTTGGAGTATTTGTGTAGATAAGTAAGATAATCTTTGCAAGGCAGAATTGGTGTATGAAAGAAACTTTTATTCTTTTGCTAATGACTTTTTTATCTGCACTTACTTCCTCACAACTTTTAAGCCATTGTTTCAGCACTTGTAATTCTGTATTGTAAATCCCTGCCCATCAACAGAATTGGTGGACAGGGAAGCTTGTCCTGTAGCGATCTGGATTTGGCTTTTTTGCTGTGTGTGTGTGCATTGTTTAGTTAGTAGGTTCATATTTTGCAAGTTTAATTTTCTTTAAGGCCAGTTGTATATAACTGTACAAAATTAAGAGTTTGTCCATATCTGGTAAAATATGTTTCTAACAAAATGAAAAAAACTCTATGCTGGTGTAGTTTATATTTATGAATACTTATAATATGTTTCTTGAACGTGGGGTATTTCTGTATAGATACATTAACATGAGTACAGCCATGAGACTCTTTTCCCCCAGTTATTTTTCCTCTTAATTAAATACAATCCCCTCCAAGTTGTTAATGGTGTTTAGTAGCTAAAGACCTGTTGTTTTCTTTTAAAAAAAATGGTATTCATTGTATCCAGAATTGCTGGCAAATATTTTCCTGAGTGGTAAAAGGACAACCTTCCTTTATTCAATGAGAGGTTGATAGTATTCCATTCATACTGCTATGTGCATAATAGATGGGTAGAATAAAATACATTTGGAAATGTTGATTTGCCAGAAAATGTAACGGAGTTCTAAGAGCAGGCAAATGTACAATAATGACATTGGAATATAAGGCAGATGAGTAGTAGAAAGAATATTTGTTATGAGAATAACAGTAAGAGCCACAACTTATTCATTTCCATGAATATTTGTTCAATACAATTATATTTATTAATGTATATATGAATAGCTGTGTGATTTACAATATATAATAAACAGGATTCTGAAACCACTCTAAAATAAGATTAAAAATAAATGCTTAAAACTGAGGAAGGCAGGAATATTAGATATGTTTGCTGTCTTGGGTTATTTATAAAAATAATAAAGGCAGCATAAAAAAAAATCTCAAGTAAGTCCAAAATTGAAAAAGAGAAGGCCAGATTTATTAGCAATACAGTAGTAATATAAGTTGTTGTGTGTTAATATATCTGTGGCAGGAGCTACAAAACATGCTCCATTGAAAACTGAATTTGCCAAGAGCAATCCTGCAATTCTTTTAGGCCTAGGCTTTATAATGCTTTATACACCTAAGCAAACACCTTGAATTTGGCTTGGAAAGGTAACTGGCAATCAATGTAAATGTTTCAACATAGGAATTTTCTGGTGGTGCCACTCCCACTGTATACACTGCATGCTTCCTTTTGGAACAGTCACAATTCTGGAACAATTTCGAGGACAGCTACACAACACAGGAATGTTGCAGTAATCCACACCTGATGTTACTGGCACAGATATCACTGAAACCAAGTCTCTCTTTAAGTATGAACACAACTATAATAGCAGCGGAAGCTCATAAAAATCCTTATTTGCTATTGTTATCCAGTATTTTATGTATTTATATATTTTAGGCTATCAGTGCAAGTTCAAGGAGAACTCCTGGACTATGAACGTGTTCCCCATTCCAAATAGATTGTATCTCACAGAGAAAGAGATAATTTTGTAGTTGTACTGTATTGCAAAGGAAATTGGAAGTTTTATTTACACTCTTTCCACTCCTTCCATTCTCCCTCCCTCCCAATAATTCAACAATTAATTCTCATCAAATTCCATCATTGTGAAGTATACTTAATTCTATACTATTTTGAGGATCCATGAAGTAAATTTGAATACATTTGGCTTGCAGATTAGGGCCTGCCTTAGTTTTTATGTTCTTTGTAAAACTTTGCATAAAAATATTTTAAAAAATATACAGTATCACCTGTCTCTAAAGGTTTTACATTCATTTTGGTTCAATTATCTGATGTGTTTAACGAGCTGCCTTCTGCAGCTGATATGTGATCCTGGGAAAAGGCATGTTTGGCTGCAAGTGTTTCTGATAGCTGCTGTTGTACATGTGTGCCCTTGTTACTATGAATCACGTGTTGCCCTTTGAATCAGGATCATTGCAATACCCTACTTCATATTTTAGTTTCTGAAGCAATAATGCTAAGCATGTATATGGGTGATGCATTCGTTTAATTTAGGAATTATATGTGAATAATCAGTTATAATTTCTGCACTTCTAGATATGGCTCGTGGACAGCAGAAAATCCAGTCACAACAGAAAAATGCCAAAAAGCAAGCTGGACAGAAAAAGAAACAAGGCCATGATCAGAAGGCTGCAGCTAAAGCTGCTTTAATATATACGTGCACCGTCTGTAGGGTAAGAGGCTCTGAAACAACATATTGGGCAATCTTTCTAGATTTTAAATCAGGAATATGAAGTATAGCAATGGCAACATCCTTTGGTTTGAAAGTTTGTATTATATACGTAATGGGTAAGGAAATTTTGCATTAGAGCTGTATACCCTTAAGAGTAATATATTGATGATACTTCTTCCAGAAGGTGAGATAGCTGGAGTTCTTTTCCAAATAAGAGCTATATATTATTTGATCAATATGTGATTACATTGATTAAATATATTAATAAGAGACTTCCAAAACTCTGTGCAATGAACATGAAATTAGAAGAAGCATGTTAGTTAAAATATGTAATACAGGTAGTCCTTGCTTTATGACCATCAGTTTAGCGGCCATTCAAAGTTATAACAGCACTGAAAAAAGTGACTTACAGCTAATCCTTGTACTTGTGACTGTTGCCGCATGCTTGTAGTCATCCGATCACCATTTTGGACCTTCCCAGCTGACTTCCCTGATTCTAAACAAGGGTTGGATAACCTCTCAACATGTTTTAAACTAGGAACCCCACCTACTCCAGACAGCATGGATATTTATAGAAATTATTACCTTTCCAATTTAAAGATTATTGATTTGATAGGGGTAATGATAGAAACTTCAGTCTGTCAAAAGTTGAATTATTGACTCCTAGTTAATATTTATTTTTGGGGTCAGAAGATAGTAGTAAAATGTTTTCCTTTAATGTCATATTAGGATTTCAAGAAGATTTAAGCAATTCTAAATAATTTATCAGGAAAACTATATATGTATTTCATTAAATAAATTTTATTATAGTTTTCTGATGCCCAACACTAAAAATATGCGGAGTTGAAACGTTTGATTTTAGTAAGGAATGTCTAAATATAAATAAAAGGAAGGGTAGGTGTGGAGGCGCTATTATGTGGCCAAATTTGTAAGATAATTAAAGTTGAATATGAGTGAATATATTAAAAAAGGCAAATTAAATGATGAAAGAGATCGTAATGTTCCAAAACCCATTGACTACGGATTGAGTCAACAGAAACTAAAGGAATGCGGGCAGATCTTAAGGATACTGTCAACGCTGCTAACATCGGATGTTCTTGCTTTGACAACATATGGAGCCATTTTCCTTTACTTTGTTTTACTCTTAGAATTAGAGTCAGAAATAGATGATACTGGGCGGGGAGGAGGAATGTGCATGGGAGTTTAATTAGACATAACAATATTGTAAATAGTGTGAGAACCAAAGTTTTTTGAAATAAGAGATGATAAGAAATGGGTTGAAGAACTGGAGGGAAAGCCTGCATTTCAAACTAATTGGAGAATGTGGTTTATGACAGTTAACTAGAGGAGGGAATTGTGCTTTGATACTATGTGCTCAGGGGAGGGGAATTCAGATTTTGGCTTTGCCTATGTATGTGCTGATGCTATGCTACTCGAATAAAGATTCTTTAAGGTAAACAATGCCTCGAAGTTCTTTGAAGAGTTTTGTCTGTCGGAACCATGACAGGTACAGGAAGAAAAAACTGTCCTTGATTCTATATGAACATTTGTGTTGCTTTATTCTCTCCTTAATCAGACACAGATGCCGGATCCCAAGACCTTCAAGCAGCACTTTGAGAGCAAGCATCCCAAAACTCCCCTTCCTCCAGAATTAGCTGATGTTCAGGCATAAAGTTCACTGGTAATTTTGTACCATTTAAATTTTGAATTAATTGATTATAAATTCTAAATAATTTTGCCTCATATTTCATTAGTTGTGTTTCTGAAGGGTATGAAAATGGAGAGTTAACTTTAATATAAAACCAACTGCTACTTGCGCTCTTTTTTTGGAGGGGGGATCTATTGTATTTACAACTTAACTTGTATAGTTAGTCTATTGTTATCATCAGGCCTATTTGCAAAACTGCAATAAATAGCTGAAAGGATATGTTTATAATGTTCTCATTTTGATTTAGCCAGTTCTGTTTACAATTGTTTAGGGTGGTTAATTTTAAAATTGGATGACATTAAATTTGGCAACTTTAAGATGTATGGATTTCAACTCCCAGTAATCTGAGAAATTCTGAGAATTGAAGTCTGCACATCTTAAAGTTGTCAAGTTTGAAAAAGACTGCATTAAATTATTGCATACTATTAATAAGATAATGACATAACAGTTCAATTAATGAATTTATTCTTGTGTTTCAGGTGAATTCATGGAATCTATTGACTCTTCTATTGTCAATAGTGTCTATTACGTGTCTATTACATAACAAATCTGCAGCTGCTTTTCTAACAAACTGTTGATCAGCAAAAAATGAAGGGGCTATAGAAACATTCATATTTTTATGCTGTTCCTCTTGGGCTTCATGTAAAGAAAACTCTTGTGTAATTGTACAGTTGTGGCCTACTTGGAAATCTGGAAATCGGTTCATTCTAAAAGATTTTTACAGTTGTAATTATATTGATGTTCATATTGTGTAAAATAACTCATTTAATAAAATAGTACTTTGATTTTACAATATCACAGGTCAAATGCTTGTAAAAATTCTATTTCCATATTTTATTTGCCTTATAAAACTTCAACAAGTGAACTTCTCACCCTGCCAAAAATTAGGTTGTTTAGATTCATTGCTGTTAATGAAGTCCATTAGAAACAAGGAAATAATTTCTCCATTCAATATACTTGCTTGAGCGTGATTATTTTCTAAAAAAAACCCCCACTGCTTTGAAAACATTCAACTATCTAGGTTGGAGTGCCTATTCCACTGGCCATTGTGAAATTTCACTCTTTATGCATAGAGGCACTTGTATCTTGGATTTATGCACTGGAGTCACCTGCAGTAGCAGTGAATCATTATACTAAATGGTGGAATATCAGAAGTATACTTGAACTGAACATTATTTTTTACATGACCTGAATGGTTTAGACTATAGCAACATGAAATAACAGCTTTCTGTTGTGAAGACCCACTGTGTAACTTTTCAATTGTATCTATAAGAAGTCAGCCACCTGGCAACCTTTCCTATGTAAAAATGACTACTGTAAATGTTTCCCTGTTTGAAAACAAAAATTGAAAAAGCTTATTTGACGGAATAGGATGGCATATGCCAGTGATGGCGAACATTTTAGAGACCAAGTGCCCAAACTATAACCCAAAACCCACTTATGCATCGTCAGGTGCTGGGGATGTGTGGCCCATTGGCTGGGTGTGGCCAAGTGGGTGTGTGTGGCACATTGGGTGGGTGTGGCTGCTGTGGTAACGGCAGACTGGGTGGGACTAAAAAGTTCAATCAATTCCAACTTTGCAAGATTTTTTTTTCCCCGCGAGGAATTGAAATTGACTGATTGATTGAACCTTTTTTTTTTGCACACGGCAGTGGAGGCCTAAAGCGAAAAGGTTTTATAAAACCCAGCTGAAGGCCTAGGACTGGGGTGATGATGCGTGTACCCACAGAGAGGGCTCTGAGTACCGCCTCTGGCACCCATGCCATAGGTCCGCCACCACTGGCATATGCAATAGAAATAATGGCTCGCTCATTTGATCAGTTGGAACTGATTACATATAGCAGTATGGATGTTAAAATTTTAATACCAGGCAGTGTTGCATTATGTTAACAGATTTCCAAACTATGTTTCAGCAGGATTCTGATCTCAGGTGCAGTCTATAGGTTCTGCCCCAGGTGCTTTTCACTCGAACAAATAACTTGTGACAGGTTACTTATGTTACTGATTTGACACTGACAGTAATATTGACCAAAGTTTGCTTTGTGCCTAGAACAGTCATCTTTGAAATCATTCTGTTAAGCCAGCACACATAATACACACTTGATACATAAAGAAAAAATAATCGTGTTTGTTTAACAATCTGATATGTCAGTTAAGTTGATGTTATTTTCATTGCCCTGGGGTGAACAATACCAGTTACACCGCTTACTTGCACTTGTACACCTGACATTGGAATGAAGCTCTCGCTTCATTTTCTTTTCTTACCTAATAAAATGTCTTCATTATAAAATGACAACTTGGTCCCACGGGCAAGAAATTTGCCTTTCAAACTGATAGAAGGTACTGAAAAGTTGGAATGGAACATGGTTTTAAAAATAACTCGAGATGTTATATGTTAACTACCGGTAATTTTATTTTAGTTTGTTTAGGTGGAATTCCAGAAAGTTGCATTCAAATAAGTTCATTCCTCGAGGTGATGCATGCATGTAATATTTCTTTCAGACTAGTCATCAAAAATAAAGAGGTGGAAACAAAAAATAGGTTTCTACTAGATTAGTACAACTGACCCACTTATGTTGTAGACTGCCTTTTTCAGAATTGCTGTTATAAGTAGCTTGTCTGTGTTCATTGAGCAAGCTAAGCCTTGATTTTATACATTAATTAAACTGCTAAAGATAATTTGTTTCTAACCAGTCAAAGACCACAAGAAAATCTTGACATTCAACATATGGGAACGAATTGGATGGGTTGGAACTATCCATAGTAAGAATCTTTTAATTCTCTGTATTGATTAAGGGAATGGGTGTAAGGAAAAGTAATTTTTTTTTCCAAATCTTGTGGATGGAATCTGTTAATTCTGGATCAAAAGACACAATTGTGCATTGTAATGTGTCTGATTAAAATCTTTTAAAAAGCAAAAGTCGAAAATGTGATATTTCCTGCTTACCTAATGCAAGTGTCATTTCTTTAACCTTGATGCTAACTGAGCAACTTTGGTTCTTTGTTTAGCACAAGGAATGGAAATAACAGCAAAGATTTCATTCAATTTGCATGTGTTATTCATAGATAAAATCAGGATAAGATTAGAGAAAATATGCACAAGGATTTTGCTGTTATAAACATTGTGTATTTATTGGTAGTTAGCAAGCCAGCATGCTTTTACGTAATTTGTTTAAAACATCATTTGTCATACTTAAAATGCACAGGATATAATGTGCCAAAATACACAATACAGTAGTGTGTTTCCTTCCAGTCATATTGTGATATTGGTCACAGTCCTATTTCAAAGGCTAATTTGAATGTGGATATTCCAAAATAATATCCTTGTGAACTTTTGGACATATCTTTTAAAATGCTGCCTAACCTTGGGGAATCTTGAGTGTTGGCAAAGTACCTTAGTAAAACATTTGGTTTAAATACTGGAATGCTAAATACAAAATCTGTCTAATAGTTCAGACTTTATTGTTACTGTTCTTGGAGATATGTATCAGGCTACTTGAATTTCAAAACTGGATTATATCAAGTGAGGCATTTTTCTAGTAGCATCTTATGTTTGGGGTTGTTGCTGTTGCTTTACTTATGTGATGGTACAACTCTAGCAATTAGAGTTGCAGATTTCTTGAGAAAGCGGTTGTGTGTACAACATTTTAAAAAGTATGCATTTAAATACAGTCATTTACTGAATGGTTGAGTTTAAACTTTGGTCTTGTCTGAGTATGAACCAGAGTACTATAAAGCAATAATAAAAATAAAGGTTGTGGACCATAAATATCCATGGGGATTAAAATATTTGAAACATGAATTTGATTCATTTTAGTTTGTACTTCAGGTAATCTATAAAATCAAGAGAATATCCATGATTAACAACTTTGTTACCTCTTAAATATATTCTTTCTCCTACCACGCTTGCTGAATTCAGCATCTAGTATATTAACATGAAAGCCAGACTGCTTTTATGAAAATATAAGTGCATGAGAAGAAGCTATTCCTTCTTTATGCCTCCGCCAGCTTCCCATAGGAAAATTCTACTTTAAAATTTTACTGGTCTTTCTTAGTATTATAGGTAGATGTAAGAAACAGTCATCTTTCATGTATCTTAGAAGGCTTGTGCTAGTGTTTGCAGCATGTTTCATGGAAGTGTTGTTATGACTGATCTGCCATAGTAGCCTCATTTCTATGAGACCTCCAGGGGTCTATGGAGATTCTCAGTCATCCAGGTCATAGTTATCCCAAAGATGCTTTTTCACAAGGCAACCGGACTTTCTTGTTTTTCTTTGAAGACCTTTCGCTTCTCATCCAAGACGCTTCTTCACCCTCCAGTCCAGGGGCAGTCAACCTTGGCTCTTTTATGACTCGTGGACTTCAATTCCCAGAATTCCTGAGCCAGCTTAGCTGGCTCAGGAATTCTGGGAGTTGAAGCCCACGAGTCATAAAAGAGCCAAGGTTGACTACCCCTGCTCCAGTCAGCTAAAGAAGCTTCTTGGATGAGAAGCGAAAGGTCTTCAAAGAAAAACAAGGAAGTCCATTTGCCTCATGAAAAAGCACCTTTGGGGCATCCTGCAGGTAAATATTTGCCACAGGTTGCTCTTCTAAATGTTTAATTTGGGGGTACTTTATGTAAAATACATGTTTACAGTAGTTCATTGATAGATATATAGCTGACCCATTCACCTTCCCTCATAATGCTGTGCTGATCTTCAAAAAAGTAATTTTCATACTTTATCCATGCTAAGTATAAATAGTTTCCCCTAGGCCTGCTAATATAACTAATGTGTACTGTCCTGGAAAAATTTATATGAAAAAAAACAAGGTACTTCCAACTCTGTTAATAGCACTATCAGTTTAAATCTTACATTTTCCAGTTGTGTTAGTATTTCAAAACTTAGACTTCTCAGACAAAAACTATGTGTCCTAGGTATTCTGGGGAATGTAGTTCCTAGGACCAGGGCTTTTTCTCTCATAGAACGCCCAGAACGGAATTCCGGCACCTTTTTTGGATGGAACCTTGTAGGGTAGGCAAGGCGGGTTGTATAATGTGTGTGAGTTCCGGCACTTTTTTTTTTTTTTTTTAAGAAAAAAAGCACTGCCTAGGACCTTTATTTAATAGATACAGATTTAATAGACTTAAGATTTAACTAACAAGAACTATTCTATCTAGGCTTGGCCCGAATTTCAAGCAATATCCCACTGCCTGAACAAAGTGGCTAGGGATAATGTTATCCAACACAACTGCAAAGCGGTAGTCCAGCCGAGAACGATTTCCCTGCTGGGCCTAAGCACTACTGGCCACTATTGCTTAGCAAGTCAGTTCCAATCCCAAACATCCCTGATTGTGGCATTTGTACATTGGGCATTTTTTCTGCCTCCCCCCCTCCCTCTAATTATTGCTATTAACAGCAACAAGCCCAAGTGTGTTTGGGAACTCAGAAAATCCCCTTTGACGATTAATTTCCTTTGGACATCAATGAACATCCCTTTCCCCATTTATTAAATCTCGGGCTTCCTGTAACTTTAAGGCACTAGATTGGAGGAATCTGCAACAATAAATCTTGAATAAATCCACACTCATTTGTAATCTGCATATAACCATGCATTTTATTCAAACACAATTTTCCCAATTGTATATGGACATATCCAGTACAGCTTTTATTTCTCAGAATGCTCCTTTTGAATTATTTGTTTTCCTGTTGGTAGTAAGTAAAACAGGCTACTGATGGATAGATCAAATGCCTTAGGCCAGACGTAATAGAATTGATGCATACTGAACTGGTCTTGAATTCAATTTTCTTTGAGTATCACAATAACCATAGCAAGG